TCTTTAATTATTACGAAAGTTATTTTGTTTATAAAGTAGTTATAATAATTTACCTGTTTCTATTTTATGGTGAAACATGTACACAACTTTTTTGTAGTCGTGGGAATAAGGTTATCGCGTATCGCATGTGATTGGTTGATGATCAGGTGCGCGATGTTTCTGATTGGTTATCGTATTTTACGTCATTTCGTAGTATTTCATGACGTATATATAGTAAGAACGAGAGTTGCAGACAGTAGAGTAGATTAGAGACAGCAGATTACACCACTGTATCAAGGTGTGTGTTTAATATTTAGTTCTTTGGGTTAAATAATTTGATAGTATTAAGTGGTGTGGGGGAAAACTTTATTCAGAGATTGAATACTATTTATTTACCAGTATATTACTGGTGTAGATTTTCATGATTACTGGTTCATTACCAGTTTAGGATTAAACTTAGGATTTTAATAGGTCTAAGAGAGTTAGACTTGCACATGAAATATTTAATTACTGGATAAGACTCCAGTTATAGAGGTTTTTATGAATTTGTGAAACACCAGAGATTTTGTGAAATGTTGAACAGTATTGTTTTGTTTCTGTGTCCTGTAAAATAAATTTATAAACTTTCAATGGAGTTCTTGACTTGTTGAAGACAGTCCAGTTAGCGCATCCGCACGTTACAGGGAGTAAGCATTCCATGTCGACTATTCACAGCCGCCTTTAACAGGCAAACGAGGCAATTCTTATCAAAAATTAAAATAAAACGGTCGTCTTGATTTAAATTTAATTATTCACAGCATAAAACTAATGCAACATTATAGACGAAAACCAAAAATATCATTTTTTAAAAAATCTATATTTTAAGTGAAAATTCATTCGTTCATTTATTTATTTATTATCCATTTACGTATGGACTAAAAACTGTGCTTGCACATTTTAATATATTCATTTGTGATTTCTATATATATTTATATATATGTATATGTAATATATAAACATGCAGAGGGCAAAATATATTCATACAATGCACCAGTAAGAAGTTTTTCATAGGTCAAGGGCACAGGCACTTGTTTTTATAATATATTTGTCCCATGGTATAATAAAAACACGGAGTATCTTACTCTGAATGAGACGGGTTATCCCCCTCCCCGAAAATCGCCTTCATTTACACTTTCAGAGAAAATACGCGGACAAACTGTTTACACCAATGCAATGTCCTCTACGATAATTTATCTACACAACCATATATGACATGCTTGTCTACATTCCTTTACTCTCCCTAAACAGCGTCAAAACACTGCTCGCCGAGTGGACCAATATTCAACCATAAAATGGTATATACTAATCCAGCAGAGAAATTTTGATGGGCTAAATACCTGTTTCTAAAATTACATCCGATAAACATCGTAATGTTTTTTCAGTGAAAATCAGACGTAATCAATAATCAAGTTCTGTTTACTCACTGCAATATATTTAAACACTACATTGGAATTTTTTAACCCACTCATTTTTTTCCAATTTTATTCTCTGTAGAGAGCTAGAACTAACTTCTTTTTTTTTCATAATTTAATGTGAACCTGTAATTTCAAAGAGGTTTTAGTAATTATAATATTAAACAGGAAAATCAATTCTAAAAAAATCTTCAAAATAAAATTTCTAAAAATTAGTTTGTTTGGCAACTTATATTTGCTTGCAACTTTATAACGTTAAGGGGAGGGGGTTAGAATTTTAAAACACACACACACCCTCACACATTCACACATTTCCTTTTCATCTTTAATTCTGATCAGAATTAAAATAATGTACACATTAATTATACAAACCTTTCAATGAGAACTGAATAGCGTGGTGCCTATTTTGCTTGACAGAGGGCGCCTTGATAAATCAAAAGACATATATATGAGAGGCAAATTATATTTACAATATACATTTGAAAGTAAGTGTAAAGTTTTCGGTCACACTGAAGTAAATTTAAAATACTGGTACATGTGTATGGTTGGTTAAATTTCTCATGCTGAAAAAAAGAATTGTTTATAAGTAACACCAGAGTTTATTAAACGCTTATGCTTATATTTATGAATAATGAGACATCCACATTCACTGAAGGTTTTATATACAACTTTTATGAAACCGTCCCCCACGATAAATTGAAGTCTATGCTTTTTGATATCATTGACAGCTGATTTTTTTTCAAATAAAAATGGAACTCGTTAATTTACTTACCCTGTCATTGGTCATTTGCAACATTATTTTGTTAAAAACATTTACTTCTGTAGATACATGCATTCTGAAGTTGATATTAAATAGATCTTCGAGTTCCTGAGTGCAATATATATTATTATAGATATGTCTCTTCTTGAGACCAGGTTTTCAAACAATCTATTTGAATTCCATTGAGTACCAATTGCGACCGTCGCCCGTGTGTTGCACTAGTTAAAGCGTCTGCTCTAGAGTAGCGGAGTTACGTCGCGGGTTCGAATCCCACTGAGGGACGAGGAGACCGGTATAAACCGATGTTGCGTGTCGCAATAGGTAATGGAATGAAAACAGATCCCTTACTTCTCAGTAGTACTGAGAGCCGAGTACAGGACCAAATATGCAGCTCGCCATCGGAATTTGGCGTTTATATATGAGTGAAAATTCTTGAGAGGGACGTTAAACAACATACATATGAACAAAAAACCAATTACGCCCTTCTATTGTGTTGATATGAAGAATTTATTCACATTGAGTACGCGAAGAGAGAAAACACTTGCTATGAACTTAAGATTCAACTTGACATTAAGATATATCGATGACATATTGTCAATAAACAATGGTCATTTCCATTTTTGTGTGGATACGATATATCCCGGTCAGCTTGACGTAAAAGATACCACAGAGTGTGACACATCAGTTTCATATTTGGATATTTCTCTATCAAAAGACATTTATCGTAAGCTTACATTAAAGCTTATTGATAAACGCAATGATTAATTTTTCAATCAACTTTCTTCCTTAAAATACGGCAATATGCCTTCATCACCTGAATACGGGGTTTTATCTCTTGGTTTATTCAAAACGAAACAGAATGCTCAACGTATGAACAATTCCTAAAAAGAGATAAGTTATTGACATACATGTACAAGCTGATAAACAAAAACATTGTCAGTCTCGTTAAAAGTCATCATTTCGTAAGTTCTATGTACGATGACTTTGTCAGCAAATAAAATCTGTCATTAAGTCAAATGCTGACTTTTCATACTTTTCATTAGGCCATTATTTATATACTAAGTTTTTGACGATTGCGACGATTTTTTCCCGTTATTTCCGATCATGACGAGGAGCACACGCCGATTGTGGCTGGTTGGCAGGGAATGCTCTCTCCTTCATGGCACCTGATCCTACTTCTGTTGTTTTAGAGGTCCGTGTTTGCTCTGCTCCAAACTTTTATTGTTTAAGGGACCTTTGAGCTTATATACTGTTATCTCAATTTATTTTATCTGTACGCTTAACATTTTTATTGAATTTTAGTTCACAGCAACCCTTAATAAATAAGAGTACCATTATTGATTAAAAATGATAAATTTCGCACTGTGCTTTAAAATGCAAACTCCTTGTTGGTACTGATATATCTCATCCGGCCCTTTTAGTGATTCTTCCGTATCCATCTGGCTACATTGAGGAACATTCATTTTTTTTTAATTTAGGTTGAAGGAGAAGACTTTAATGCTCATGAACTCGATATAAATGGTAAGTTAATATTTAATATGTATATTTGTATATGTATATTTGTGTAAACGGATAAAGAAGATCAGAAATTTAAAGCTTTCTTACGTGTTTGAACAGTTTAGACATTTTTATCCGAGCTCAAATCTTCTGTGGATTTGTCTTTCCATCCTTTGAATTACACAAAAGATTATTTAATTAAGGGGGTTTTTTTTGGTAATTTCATTCATACATGTAATTAACAACTTTTTGTTTGCAATTGTGTACAACGCTCTGGACCTATACAATAATGTAAACTACATAACTACACACTGAACTAAAAGAGAGAAAATGTATTACGAAAAAGATATAGAAAAAATGAGATAAAAAATCAGCAAAAACTCAAAGCATTTTTTTTCCTTTCAGACAAATGGCTAACGCATGCAAGGCTCAGGATGTAGTAAGATGCTGCATGTGTTGTAACGGCGGAAAATTCCGTTGTCATTCCTGTTCCTCCATTCTTTGTGAGACCTGTGTAGGAAAACATATGTCGAGTAAAGTGAACACGACTCATGACGTGTCATCTCTATCCTCCGGTTCCTCTCGGCCAGAATATCCAAACTGCCCTGTTCATGAAAATCAACAATGTGAGATGTTCTGTAAAACTTGCTGTTCATCAGCCTGCAGTAAGTGCATAACATCCGGGGAACACAGGTCACATGATGTAAAGGATTTTGCAGAATGCTTAAGAGAAAGAAAATCTAGAATTGAAAAAGCAGGACATGAAGTTAAAGACTCTTTAATTCCAATTTTTGAGAAAATGAAAGATCAGGTTGAGGAACAGCTTAAGATCCTTCCAGCAGAATTTGACAGTATTGAAGAGAATATATACAAAAATAGGGACAAGTGGCAAAGATTTCTTGATAATGTTGTCGAAGCTTCTCTCAATGATGCAAGAAAAATGAAACTTTGCATTCAGAAAGATCTGGTGAGCAAACAAGATCATCTCCAAAACGCTATTAAACGTCTGGACGAATTCCTTCAGAGCTTGTCATATTTGCTATACATATTTAGCTGATACAATGGAATTATTTCATTATAATGTTGAGTCTCAGTATTTACTTCGAAATGCAGTAAAAATCCAAATAAAAAGCCCTATATTTTCTGGCAAAATACTGTCCGAAGAGAAACTTAAAGATTTTTTTGGTGAAATAAGTTGTCCCGTTAAATCAACCTTGGAATGGCCAAAAACAGAGAAAGATAAAATGTCATGCATTAAATCCCACCATCTGCCTGCATTAAGGCGTAAGGATCTCTCTAAGTTTCGCAACACGTCTTTCTCTGACAGTGAAGAAGATATGGCAGCATTTTGGTGGAAGGAGTCGCGGAGTGAACAAGGTTATAAATTCTCTATCTAAATAAAACAACCAGTTATTATTTTATTTATTCGATAACTCTTTGCGGCGCGGCTGTAAAGATATGATTTAGAAACAATATTTATTTACATATTTTAGGTCATGAGTAAGTTATTGTCTATCTTTTTGAAGTACTTTAGATCACAAAATTTTTGCGACACACTTATTTTCGCGAGATACTCATTGAATCTTTATTAGCGAGACACAATTTTTTTACGCATTGTTGTTATTCCTCTATATAATCGTAAGGAATATTTTTATACGCGAGAATAAAAATTTCGCGAGCTCATTGTCACGCGTAATTACGCGAAAATTAAGTTATCGCGAATAAAATATGATTTAAATTCATTTTTCTCAAGATTTTCAATTATCGCCAAACTCCTTAACTCCGTCAATACCCCTCCGCGCTCTTTGGAAGTGAATGTTATTATGACATTATTCTTTAAATGCTGAAAATCTTTTATCAAATGCTGAATTACTACAACAATCAGCGCGGGAGTGGTGACGGATTTTGGGTACTCGGGTATACTTTTCTACGAAACAAATTGTTTGCAACTGTATAGTAAAACATGCACACTTTGCATGAAAATCCTTGAATGACTTTGAAAAACTATAATATAGCTTAAATCTTCATTTTATTAATGTTTTGCTGATGTGGTTTAAATTTGTGCAATTCAGTTTTCACAAAAGGGTACAGTATGACTGGCACTAGCCTGTATATGAACTTCTAATAAGTTTCAATTGTTACTTTAGTACAGTCATAATGAAAGTTCTCTTTAAAAGTTCATACATTTAAGAATGCTTCCACAATTTCAAGTCATAATCTTTATTCCTTTTCAATTTATGTTAAAATTACTATGTTATTAATATAAAGGCGTGTGCGAATCAGTAGAATCAAATAGAAGGTGGGGTTGGTACCCAACACATGCCAGAAGAAATGCCGGAGGTGGGCTTCAACAAAGATTTTCTGACTCCAACTTGTACAAAGGATCTCAAGAATCTACAAAGGAAAACAGATCTTCTGTATCAACATTCAGGTATGAAATAATTTTAATATGGTTATGGTATGGTAAATTTGTTTCGATATCCTGGGGTCTGGTCTCTAAGAATTAAATGACGTTGCTTAAGACCAAAAAACATCTTTTAACTATCCCCTTTAAGGTTGTTTGTAGAATCAGATTGATTTTTAACAAAGTACTTTTCTTAATAATAAATAAAATATTTCTAAATGATTTCTTAAAATGCAATATGTTTTCAAGTTCCAATGATTATCAAGTTATAAGCATTGTGTGCTGAAAAAATTGGGGAAGGGGCAAATATGTAACACAATAAATATGATGTGTTTTTTTTTTCAAAAATTCTCCATTGAACAATTTCGAAAACATATAATGAAATACAAATAGAGATAACGAACAGTATTTAAGCTCAAAAGACAATAAAACAATTCAAAATAGGAGCGAAGCAAACACGGACCTCCAAAACATCAGGACTGGAATTAGGTGCCATGGAGGAACCCCTGCCGACCGGTCACACCTGCCGTTTGCAGGTGTCATGATCGGGACATAACAGAAAAAATCAGTCGCCAAATCAGTATGTAGATTATAGCCTAATAGCCTAACGATTAGTATGAACAGTCAGCCTTATTTAAACTTAAGATTAATTGTACCGTATAAGTGGAAATTTTAGCGAGACCCAAAATGTAGCGATTTGTCCTTAAAAATGGGTATTTTATTTTTAGCGAGAATTAAGCGAAGCCATTACAAAATACAACACAATTAATTTTTAGCGATATTCAATTTCAGCGATCTAAACACGCTCGCTGATAACGCCAAAATTAAATCCTCGCTAAAATTCTGCTTATACGGTATTTGCTGACAAGGTCATTGTGCAACCATATAACATTCAAAATATGACTTTAATAGAGACTGCTTATAATATAATGAACCAATATTGTATTTTTCTATTTTTAGAGCATCCACCTTGCCAGCAGGGGGAATAAAACACATTTTTCCGCGATCCCCTTCAATGCTCTGCATAGACGACGTCATTGAGTTTACCAGATACAACGGTCTTCGAAGTAGTGGTATTGTCAAATATGTCGGAAACTTAAAAGATCGGGCGGGAATCTTTGTTGGTGTAGAGCTTGATGATGAAGGTAAGATAAAGACAATTTATAGAATTTGTTGCAGAAACTGCCTTTCTTTCTACTCTTTTCTCAAATGTAAGGACCTTTGATAAAATATATATGTACTTCGAACCATTTTATATGATATTCTTACAGACACCAATTTTAACAATAGAATGTCTTTGATGCTGCAGAGATAAAAGGTTTTTTTTATTGCAAAAGAGAACTATATTATGTGTGTGTGTGTGGGGGGGGGGGGTTCGTTAGGTGTGCTACGTAACTTTTACAAACGCTATCTCTACATGAACAATCAAAAACACATTTAGTTGTTTAAATTATAAAGAACAAATGAATGTTTTCATATTTTTCCAACATATGCAAGTTCAAGGTAAAGGGAAATTTTTTCGTATAATTCTTAAATATTTCTTTTCTTTTTGTAGAAGATGGAAAGCATGATGGAGTTTATAATGGAGTTAGATATTTTAACTGGTATGGATTTTTTTTTAATGTTATTTAAGTCGCCTTTTTAATTAAAAGAAAATCCAGTAGATTACAACTACGTATTATTCAGCATATCGTAAGAATACTAGCTGGTAATCAATCCTATTTTTTTTATTAAACAGAGTTACCTTTTTCATTCATAATCATTTTTCTGTGGTATTTTTTTTCAGCAAACCCTCCAAAGGTCTCTTTGTGAAGTTTGAAAAAGTTGTCAATATTATGAAAAATCCAGTAACCTGGGCGTAATCCAAAAGACGAATGTGAACTACAAGAAAAACGACGAAGTTTTTTGTACATATAATATAAAATATGTGTGTATATTGAAGAAGCGTATAATGAAATCTATGGTTGATTTTCTGATTTTAAAGATATGGGATGTTTAAATCAGTTGCTTAGAATTATGATTTCTATTTTAGAATTTTTTAGTTTTATCTTATTTTTGAATCTTATGCACAAAAATTTCCTTGTTTTTCGAAGCATATTAAAGAGATATTTCCTCGATTTGATTCGAATTTCCGTTTAGAAAAATTATATTATATTAGTCTTGTTATTGCCTCAATGACAATCATTTCCTCTTTCAAATTTTTAGGGGTTTTCTAACATTAAAATTCAATTTCTATGCTGCTAACGTTATTATGATTGAGATACACTCGCTGTATTATGTGTTTTTAATAATATGACAGAAAAAAAAATATACTTAATTATATGTTTCTTTTTCCTATGGAACGCCATCACTGCCTTATAGCATACAACTATGCATTTATTACGTCAATTTATCATTACGTGATGTGAACATATCTTTACGTTATGTCCATTTTTTATGGGATGATGAGAATATATCTTAACATCATGTCAATGCTGCATTACATGAAGTAAATACATCCTTTCATTATGTCAGCACTTCATAACTTGAAGTAAAAAATTCATTATGTGAAGTGATAATGTGTTTACATTGTGTTAAAACTTTATTACGTGAAATGAATGTTTCTTTACATCATTTCATTTCTTTAATATGTGAGGTCAAAATTGCATTACGTCAAGTAAATTGTGTTTTATAATTAAACTTATCATCACATGAAGTCAAAAGCCCATTCCTTTTTGAGAGTGTATATTTCTATTATATCAAAGTATTATTACGTGATATGGATTTATCTTTATTTTACGGCGAGGGCATCATGATGTGAGGTGAACACATCTTACCTTTATGTCAGTGCTTTATTACGTGGTGTAAAAAGTGTATAACATAATGTGAACATATCTTTATATTATATCAACACTTTATTACATTATGTCAAAACTCCATACCGTGATGTGGATATATTATAACGTTATGCCAACTCTTTCTTATGTGATTTAAAAATATCTTTATATTGTGTTAACTCTTTATCATGTGGATTCCAAGTTCATTACGTGATGCAAAAATACATTTACATTATCTCAAAATCTAGTATATAATAAATGTTGACGACCGTGTTTTAATGACTGGTAAGAAGGGGGGGGGGGTCGTGATTGATTAGGACAAATTACAGGCACATAATATCAACCCCCCTCTTTTCCCAGACATAACTTTACTATAGAAAATGTAATGTTCATTGAAACTGTACAGCCCCCCACCCCCACTTCTTGTTGAAATAAAGTCCACTAAGGGTAATATAATATATCTGGAAAAAAATAGGATTGATTGAAGTTGGACCACTCTCCCCGAAATAGGATTTTCGGGCTTGGACATTTTTTTTCTTGGCTTGTCTAGTTTTTTCGGATAAATGATTTTTTTTACTTGCTGACCTCCTCTTTCAAAAAAATGATGCTACGTCACTGGAGTTAGTAATTTTTTTTAATAATTCCAGGGCCAGAATTCTATTGCAAAAATCTACCAGTCGCTCATCTAAATCAATTGAATATGCCTTAGTAAGCATGCATGGGCACATATCAGTGGCAGATATGGGAATCTTGAACAAGGAATGGGGACGGTATATGGTTGGAGACCAAGGGCGGAAAGCGGAGAAGCTCTCAGGCTTTATAGTTTTATAGAAAAAA